AAACTAAGCTATCCACGATCCACGACCGACCGAAAGAAGCGAAGGAAAATTGACAGTTCGGTCTTTCGATATATAAAGGTATTTGGTTTATTGTTTACAGTATGGATGCAGCTCTATCTTGCTGTACATACCGAGGTGAAGAGAATGTGTCCCGGGGGGTGTTGGGGGGCTTGCCCCCCATCAACCCTCCCCTCGGGCAGTGCCCGAAGGGCACGCCTAGTCACGGCACCGTAAATTGCTAGGTTAGGTTGGGTTATGGGTTAGGACGTTTTTTGGTGCTTGGAAGGTGTGAAATCCCGTACATTTTACCGAAAGATGCGTTGTATTCCCGTAGAGTTTTTCGAATGTTGGCGCGTCGCGTCGGTGCGTATACTTTCAAAGATGGCGGTCATGTCCGTAGTTTCATTAACCAATATTTAGCCATTTTTGGGATAGTTTTTTGTTTTTGTTCGCCATTTGCACAAGAAACATCAAGAATCGTTGAAATCAGTGGATTTCATGCAGATAAATATCAAAATTAGTTCGAAAGTAAGCCCCTACCCTGTTATGCATATTGTCCGTTTCCGCGCAATAATACCTACATATTTGGATTGTACAGAGTGAGAGGAATCCAATGATACCAAAATCGTCGATATCGAGGAGGCGAAGGTAATATAGAAAATGGTAATTTTCTATATTACCTTCGCCTCTCCGATATCGACGATTTTGGTATCGTTGGATCCTCTCATACAATCCAAATATGTAGGTTTTATTGCACGGAAACCCCCCGTTAGCGGCAAACTTGGCCCCGATAGTAGGGGCGACGATGTCGGAGCGGCGGACGTAATATAGAAAATTACCCTAAAAATATAACCCACAGTGAAAATAACCATGGTTATTCACATGACTTTCCATTGAAGGGGCTGTGCCCCTGCGACCTCCTGAGGGGGGCGCTGCCCCGACGAGGGCGGGCCACCGCCGCTCTTCTGTTCATGGTATACCTTGTTCATCCTGATTATACTACAATCTGTATATAATGTTGACTATGTCAAGGTTAGTATGTTGATTCAGTGGGAATGTTACGAGGTAAATGTAATACGTCCGCCGCTCGCCGATAACTGTGTAACGCTCTAGCCTGCCGGGAATACGTGGTGGAGGTTTTGTTTCCTCGGCGGGGGTTGGGCGGTAGCCCCCCATGGGGTGCAGGGGCACAGCCCCCTGCAATGGAAAGTCATGTGAATAACCATGGTTATTTTCACTGTGGGTTATATTATGTTATTTAACCCCGCATTTTCCCTGGAACCTTTCATACCCTCCCCTGCTATCGGGGGGTTTGTTGCTAACGGGGGGTTGTGGACAGTGAGAGGAATCCAACGATACCAAAATCGTCGATATCGGAGAGGCGAAGGTAATATAGAAAATTACCGCGGCGAAAATAGAAGGGGATAGCATAGTTTTAACATCCGTTGACCAAAATATAACGCGCGGCCGCCTTTCAAATTCAAAGTCGATGAGCTTGTTTACCTTGTGAGGAAAAACACAACAATGATTCACGAACGCATTTTTGCGTTCGCGAACTAGTCCGTGTATTATTACGCGCTTGTGAAAACAAAATTTGGCTAATTGTCTCTGCTGGTACGCATTTATGCCTTTAAAGTCATTTAGTAATGTTATTATACTTCATTTGCATATTTTTATATTTATCTATACCTTCATATAGAATCCTGCGCATCGAGGGTTTCACTTTCTTGCGCCAGCCACAGGTTGGCAGCTCACCATACCGCTCATTTCGAGATTGAAAGCCGGTGAGAAATGTTGCGTTTCCAGTGCTGTGTTGATTCTGGGTTCTTTTTAAGACCTTTACAGTGGCATCGAAGAATAATTAGACTTTAGTAACCATCCCAGTTTTATATCTGAGATCAAGACCTTCAAAATCTCCAAATGACGAAAAACGTGATTAAAATCGAAGCAATCCCAACAGTACAAAGAAACGAAAGTTTCACGTTTCCGGATATAAAGGTATTTGGTTTATTATTTTACGGTGTGAATGCAGCTCTGTCTTGCCATACATACCGTGGTGGAGAGAATGTGTCCTGGGGGGGTGTTGGGGGCAGTGCCCGAAGAACACGTCTAGTCACGGCAATTTATATTGATATATTAGATTGGTTTATTGGTCAATGGTTTCTTTAGGGGGATTGGAACGTGTGGATTCCCGTAGTTTTGCCGAAATATGGGTTAGGTTCCCGTAGTGTTTTTGATTTCTGGCGCGTCAGCCCGTAAAATTCCAAAGATGGCGGTTACATCCGTAGTTTCATTGTCCGATTTTAAGCGCTTTTTGTGCTAGGTTTACGCATTTTTGATCGATATTCTAATTATTTAAGCTTGTTTTACCCCATAATTTCCCTGATATACTTCATGCCCTCCCCTGCTAACGGGACTATCAAATCAAGATCGTCGATGGAGAAATGGTACTCGATCTCCTGAACGATTCATTCGCAGAAGAAACAACGCCGAAAATCGATGAAATCATAGGATTTCATGCAGGAAAACGTTTATTTTTCAGCACCATACCCAGCTGTATTTTCCAACACGTGCATAACATAAATGTAAGGTATAAGTTACTTATAGCGACGCGCGTAGATAGAGGGAAATAGACACTGCCATCTTATAGAGCGGAAAAAATAGATGGGGATAGATTATAGTTTAAGATGGATTGGCATTATATTTACCGATAAAAGGAAAAAAACCGCGGCGCTATGCGCAGCGAGGAGACGAAGTCCACAAAACCTTTCTGCAGCCAGAGTTGTTGTTTATGTCCACATTTTCTATACACTCATTTTCTAAATGTCTCATTTTCTGTTATTCCATTTTCTATAGCTGCGTTTTCTATGAAGGTTACGTTTTCTGTGCACCACTTTCAACCAGTGTGGAATCATTTCCGATTACTAATATTTTAATCTATTATCTACTCATATTTCTACTAACATTTCCTCTATTAATTTAATGCTTATGCATTATAAATCTTATTTTATACAATGTAGGTATATTATGAAGTATAATTTCGTTATGATAACCTTGATCAACTGTTAACAATCTAACAATAGGACTGCCTCCTTACATTGTTTGCCTCCCATGTTGGAACAAAACACAATGTCAATTACATGCACACTTACCGGTAAGCCTTTGCCATGGCAGCTTCATCAAGCAGTTTTTTTGCTCAGTGTGACATGGGGTAAGTTTTTATAATACTTTAAATATTTTTTTAAATGATATTTAATGAATCTGACATTTTATAAACATATATTTTGTAGCTTTTATCACAATTAACAAATAGTGTTATTAAATATAGATTTTATGGTAGGTACGGGCAATTTTGGCAAAATTATGGAGAAGCCACCCTCTTGCTCGATCTTTGCCGGTCACATGGTGTCTCCTGGGGTCACTAAAGTGCCCCAAATGTGAAAATGAATGCCGGCTAGACGAAAATATATATTTATTCCGGTGCGACAAAACACACACAAAAATAAATAATAGAAAAGGATGCAATTTCAAAAACTCACCTTATAAGAACACCTGGTTTGATAATAGTAAGCTCGATTTTGAAACTAATTTAAAATTTGTTAATTTGTATCTGCGAGAGATTTTCTTACGAATCTGCACGGAGCGATTTCAATTTCCCAAACAAGACTATTTGCGATTGGGCGAGCTTCTGTCGGGAGGTTCTAATTTATTGGTGTTTTGAAAATCAATCCGACAAAATAGGTATGTCAGGGGAAACTGTCGAGATTGGTGAATCTGAATTTGGTAAACGTAAATATAACGTAGGTCGTGTAAAAGGTCAGTGGGGTTTTGGAGGAGTATGCCGCAAGAGTGGGAATTTTTTTCTCGTACCCGTGGAGACGCATGACTCTCACTTTGCTTAACATCATTAAGGAGCGTATCCACCCAGGGACAACGGTCATTAGTGATTGTTGGAAGGCATGCACTGTTTAGAAAGAGGGCTATCAACATTTAACTGAATCATTCATACAATTTTCTTGACCCCAAAAGTAAAGCTCACACTAATACGATCGAGCGTAAATGGAGGGAGGCCAAAGCCAAAGTGCCCCGCTTCGGCAGGAGGAGTTATCACTTCGTAGGATATTTGGCCAGGGCCATATTTATGATGGCATACCCGGCCGAAAACAAACGGTGTCCATCAATTCCTCCTCGCCGCAGCTCGTTCGTACCCTCCACACTGACGCTGTGTTGTATATTGTTTAATATTTTTATTTTATAAATTGACATGGTGCGAATAAGCAGGGGGGTGGGGTAATTGTATAAATGTTTTCGTTATTTCAGATCGCATAAAAAAAAAAAAAAAAAAAAAAAAAAAAAAAAAATAAAATAACATATATATATATATATAATATATATATATATATATATATATATATATATATATCGGATATCGAGTTTGTACGCATTGCGTGTTTCGCTTGTTTACTTTAGCGTCATTTCATTTGCTCAGTTCGCTGAACGCCGGACAAAGTTTGTCTCGTCTTTCTGATTATACTGCCGTTCTATTGTTGTCGGGACATAAAATTAATATCGTTATTATCATGTAATTTAACTTTCTATCGATGTTTAGAACCCTCCCCCCATTTGGAGGGGAAGAGGGAGTTCCCCTCCCCCTTTGGAACTTAGTCTCTGCAAGGGTGCGTCGCAATCGGTAACAATTACCAAATGTAATATTCTTGTAGCATTTGTAACAAAAATATATAGGTTTTATAATTTTAGTTATACTCACTATATTATTTTGCTGTTTAACGTTTTCTTTGCTCCTCTGAATCACATGGCGTGCCCTAGACAAGCGCTTTGCGTGCTAAGTCTGGCACTTTTGGCAAAGGCTGCAGACCTCTGCTCTATAAGATGGTGTCCATTTCCTTCTATGTACGTGCATCGCTATAAGTGACTTTTGCCAAAAGTTTACTAAAAATACAAAAATGCATAAAATACATGTTACTAAAATCAGACGTTGAAATTCACAAAATGATTGTCTTCTCTCAAGTGCTAGTAATACATGAACTACTTGAAAGTGCACAGGAATGAGTTAAGCGGTCATAGTATTGTTAACATTTGCAATGTCAACATGGCGAAGAACTTGGAAAATGATGGATCGATCTTCTCTCGTCTCTATCCTGTATCTCCTTTATTTTCGATCTGCACACATTATGCCATACATAGTGTCAGGTTGTCAAGATATTCATTCCATACTTTTTTTCTTTTTTACTGTAACCCTGATTGTTACCTGCTGTAAATTTACCCATAAGGCATTATTAGATGTTGAGAGGAATTCAGCAATACCGAAATCGCGATCCGTTATGCGGTCGTATTCCATAACCATGTTACATATGGCATTTTTTGTGGATTACCAAGAGTGACCCTAAAGTGGTTGGCTGGTGTAATATGGTCTGAAGGGTGCGGTCATATTGTAAAAAAATGGCAAAGCGGTCATTTTGTAAACCATTGCCCTGGGAGGTCTTGCTGGGAAGTCTCTAGGTGGTACATATAATCAAATATACCATACGGGTCAACTACAGTAATCCTCCATCTGAGTGGGGCCTGCTGCCATGGAAGACCAACATCTTTCACGTATACACGAAAGGAGGATATACTGTCTTCAAGGGCGGCAGGGCCCACTCAGGTGGATGATAACAGAATTCCGTATTCTGTATGTTTTGTTTGTAAGTTGGTTTGTTTCAGGTATGTGGTTGGTAGAACCCGCCTCCTTGCACCGGCAATGTTTGTTGACGACAGATGGAGCGCCGATGACATTCCTTTGTCACATTTGAAGGGCCCAGGTGAGTGCTAGCTGGAAAATAAAGAAAAAAATCAAACAATATAATCCACCACTTGAAAACGACAAACATGTACGTTATGTGCATTCAAAAGCAAAGAAATAAATGAAACTTCCTTTTTAAGGTGTTGTACTGGACATCAGAGAGAAGGTGAAGAAGAATCCATTGGCCGAGTTGACCGTGGACGATATTACCAGCTGGACGGAAGCAAACGGACCTCTCCCAGATGGCGCGGTGGTCTTCGTCCTGACCGACTGGAACAGCAGGTAAGGAAGGGGAAGGAGAAAGAGCAGAAGTGAGCAAGGAAGAAGGGCAGCGGCGGGGGAAGGAGATAGGGCTAGGGGTTTCGGGTGGGGGAAGGAGATAGGGCAAGGGGCAGAGGTAATAATTGGCAACATTTTCCCGTCTGAGATATATGATTCTATTAGGAGTTAAAACGTATGTCAATTCAGATTTTCATATTTTATAGTAATGAAAAGAAAATCACCTCCCACCTTAGCGACAAATCTGACCCATTTTCTTCCAATTCTTATTGAAAGAAAATCGCGTTATTTTCACCATTTCTTGCCTTCGTTTTCTTGATGTTGATTGCAATTCGTGTTTTATATATCTTTTTAGTAGGGTGGTGGGGGAGTTTATACAGGACGATCAGCTGATAAATGTTAATTCGAATGATTAAGTAGTTTAGAGAATTTTACATATTTATTTTCACAGGTTGGGGGACAAACTGCCGGCCTATCACAGTGTCGTGAACATTACAGGATTTTCCGGTAAGGTCTGATAGGTTGAACCGTATTAACGTTGACTAATGTTGAAAAGGTATGGATGAGAAGGAATATTTTTACAATACAAGAGATGAATTTGGCCGGTTTCGAATATATCTTCGTCAGAAATTCATGATATGTATTTCTGGCGAACATTCTATTGTGAAAATATTCATTCTCATCCATACCTTTTCTACTAGTTTCTATAAGGTTAAGGCCATGTCACACTTGGACTTTTTGATAAATAAGAGCGTATTCTCGCTGCTCTCATCTAGTCAGCTGACAGCAGAACATGGACACAAATGTAAACAAACAGGCGAGCAGCTAGTTACCAACTTGTATCTCTCTTTAATAAATATAAGAAAATTTTGCCAATCTTTAGTATTTACAAATTAGTCGTTTTTAATCATTTTATATTACAAATAGATTTCTTCGCATTACTAGAACGAATATCTATTATAGCTTATGATTTGAACCACAAAGACCACGGTAAATTTACCAGCGGAAACGATAATTATCGTTTGACTGGAAATTATCGCATTCGGCCAATTTGCCAGCGGTAGCAAGAAAAAAGAAAGAAAAAAAAAAAACACGGAAACGTGAAAGAACCACGGAAATAGTGCTATTGTGACACCCCCTTTAGTATTTCGCTGTAGTTGTTTTATTCCGTTTACATTTACATAGAAATCCCCCCCAATCCCTTGCCCGTTGTTGTCGTGGGGGGGCTTAGACGAAGACTGAGACCCAATACAGGGATCTCCCCTGCCTAGGGCCTCAGCTCTCGACTCAACTAATTTTGCATGGTCTTTTTCCTCTCCAGCTTTTGTTTCCGTCTCTTCTCCATCCCCTTCTGCTATCTACTTCCTAAGGTGTGAGAGCCGTGCTGAGAGGATGAAAGGCTGACCTAGTGCCAGTCCTGAACGGCCTGCGGGAACCATGGGCACGGTACTCCTGACTAATCTAGCCCTTACCTTCAGTAGCGAAAGGAGGTGGACCGATTAGGCCTATTTACATAATCCAGGTTCCCCATGACCAGTAATGAAAATGTAATCCCTTTATTAGAGGCTATGAGGCTAGCCCCTTTATCAAATAGCCCCAACCCAGGCTCTCCTTTGACCACGGCTCCGAACACTGAAACTACTGCCCACTCCTCAATGCCTACTAGTGCATTACCCACCCAAGCAGAGAATCAATCTCCAGAAGACATTCCTACCCACCCAACTTCCTCAAATTCAACTCCACCCCTGCAACCTTCATCAAACAACCAATCCTCCCTTATTACTACCTTGCAACCTTATTCTCCATCATTCCGTAATACTCCCTCTTCCACACGTCCCCGACCATCCACCACCACCAACCCTACAGATATCTTAAATACTCTGTTTAGCCCAGCTAAATGGGACCGATTTTTCGTGATCCCTGCTACAGCTCCTTACTCAGGCAACACACTTCTCTTTCAACAATGCCTCCAAAAACAAGTAGGCAGAGTCCCTTTTTATACCAGACGCGATCGCTCCCGTCTGGTAACAGTCAGATCAGAAACTGAATCTATAGCACTATCAAATTTAACTGATCATTCTGGCAACCCATTCCTGCAAACCTCATCCAACCCTTAATACCTGTACCGGAACTGTCTCTCTCCCCAGCAAACTGCCCAGTCGATACCAAAGATTGGTCAGACTGTGGAGAAGACTTATTAGGATGCCTCAAAGACCAAGATGTGAAATCAGTAACATTGCTACACCATTCCTCCTAAAGGTCAACGAAAGAATCCGACCAATATTGCCAAAATTACCTTCCGTACACATGACCTTCCCTTACGTATCTACATTGGTGGACAATCCCTCCCTGTTCGACCATACCAACCCCCTCCCCGTCAATGTCAAAACTGTTGCTGCTTTGGACATCCTGCCAAACATTGCCGTTCCACAGACCGATGCACCATATGTGCCCAACCTGGTCATAATCGATCAAACTGCTCAGCACAAACACGAACATGTGCTAACTGCGGCGGCCCCCATAATGTATTCTATAGAGGCTGTCCCACTTACAAGTTTGAATCTGAGGTAGCAACTCTCAGATACAAAAATGGTCTCACTTTACGTGAAGCCAGACAGGAAGCACGTCGACAAGGTTTCTCTCACTCCATATTCTAGCAACATCGTTTGCTCAGCCCTTCCCCCTCCACCCCAAAATGTCCCCATTTCCACTTCTACATTCTACATCCCTCAGACCAATTCCTTTGCCACTCTAAACCCAGACACCCCAATCTCAACCACAGCTCCTATCTCAACTACAGCCCCAACACCAACCCCTCCCTCTCCCCGCACTACCCGCAGTAGACAGACTAAACGTTCTAACCCTTCTTCCCCTACAGCACAATCACCTCCACCTACCTATACCTTTGTTCCTGAGACACCAGTCTCCTCTTCCCCCCCTCATAAGAAAACCTTTATTCCACAAAACTCTCCAACAAACTCCACTGCAGAAACAATGGATGACATTCAAAGCTATATGCTTGAGACACAAGATCCCACAACTCATGATGCTTCCACACTTGAAGTGGTTGCCGATATTCATACCCCTCCTACTAATATTCCCCCTACACCCCTTCCTCCTACTCCCTCTCAACACAACCTAACCCCCTCAATCCCATCCACCACTGATATCCATCCTCCCAATACCCATCCTCCTGATATGCATCCCCCTCTTACTCACAGCACCCCTACACCCTTTCCTCCTAATCCCTCCAAGACAACACATCCCCTTTCAACTCCAAACTAAAGGCACATTCTCCCTCCCTCCATCCCCTCTATCCTTTGCACTCCCTCCCGGATACACACGAGAATCACTCATGGCACAACAATGCCCTTCTCCAGATTCCCTACCTCCTAATATCCCTCCTTTACACCCCCTAGCTCCTTCCCCTTCAAATTCCCCAACACGTACATGTGTTATCATTCATAAATCAACTAGGATATAGCTCTCCTACATTGGAATATTCGCAGTTTCCGCTCTCATAGATCAGACCTACGTCATATCCTTGCTTCTTATAATCCATCTATTATCTGCCTCCAAGAGACTTTCCTCACACACCCTCCTATTCCAATTCCCAATTACCATTTTATCTCTTCCCCACACTCCCTTTGTCTCGTCTATACTTATCCATCATAAAACACCTTATGTCATACCTCCCATACAAACTTCTGTCCCGTGCACAGCTATTCGCATCTTTCTTCGCCACTGGATCACAGTGATTTCAGTCTACTTCTCCCCATCCCATCCCATTTGACTTTACTGCCTTTGAGACTCTAATTTCCCAACTCCAACCACCTTTCCTCATAGTTGGTGATTTCAACTGCCGCCACACTGTGGGGTGACTCTACCACCAACTCCCGGAGCCGATCTCTAGAACGCTTCCTCTTCACAAATAACCTAATTATTCTTAATTCAGATCCCCCCACACACTTTGACATGCGCACACAATCCTTTTCATGCCTTGACCTCTCTATGCTCTCCTACTTTACATCTAGATTTCCATTGGTCAGTTCTAGACCACTTCCCCTATAGTGACCACTTCCCAATACTCCTTTCTCCTACTTCATATGTACCACTTCCTAATCCTCCACGCTGGTGCTTTGATAGAGCTGACTGGCATACTTTCACTTCACTCTCTACTATACCTATCCCTCCACCCCCCTTACCGTCCATTTCAGATATGCTACATTGTTTTACAACCACGATCCTAAGAGCTGCCTATACAGCCATTCCTCGAACTTCAAGACCCTATACTTTAAATGTGTTCCATGGTGGAATTCGGATTGCACCAAAGCGCTCCGCTTAAAACGAGCAGCCTGGAACAGCTAACGCTACAAACGAGGCACCCCTCACCAGCTATCAGCCCTTATTTCCTTTAAAAGAGCATCTGCCCATCTTCGCCGTACAATTAAAAACAGCAAAACAAATAGCTGGCAAAATTGTTTCCTCAATTACATCTTCTACATCTATTTCAGCTGTTTGGCGACGGATCCATAAACTATCAGGCAAACATCCCCCCCATCCTGCACCCGTCCTCCATATTCGAGATATTCTCATCTCTGAGCCTGTCGAAGTAGCTAATGAACTGGGCAACTATTTCAGCCAGGTCAGTAGTGGCTCTCACCTTTCCCCACACTTTTCTTCCATTAAAACCATCAAGGAATGCACCCCTATTACCTTCACCCTATCCTCTGATGAGTCCTATAATGCTCCTTTTTCTTCTGAACTCAACGCTGCATTACAGTCGTGCGCAACACTCATGAAGGCCCGATGGTATTTACTATCGTATGCTCCGACACCTCCCATCTTCCTCTCTATCCTTCCTTTTAACTATTTTCAACCACATATGGACGTCAGGAAATTTTCCTTCTCATTGGCGAGATGCTCTCATCCTACCTTTCTTAAAACCCAAAATCAGGTACCCTACCCCAAGATTACCGCCCCATAGCTCTAACTAGCTGCTTGTGCAAACTACTAGAACGAATGGTTAACTTCCGTGGTTTCCGACGTGCCCGAAGTACAGCAGATCCACTTGCCCATTTCGAGACATACATTACATCGGCATTTGCACGCCATGAATCCGTATTAGCCATTTTCTTTGATCTAGAAAAAGCATATGACACCACATGGCGATACCATATCCTCCAACAATTGTCCTCCCTAGGTTTACGTGGAAACATGGGTGTTTTCATTAAATCCTTCCTTTCTAAACGTACTTTCCAGGTCAAGATTGCCTCTTCCACTTCATCATCCTTTCCTCAATTCGAAGGCGTCCCACAAGGAAGTGTGCTTAGTACCACTTTATTCCTTCTTGCTGTAAATGACATAGTCTCACTCCTACCACCAGAATCCAGAGCATCACTATATGTTGATGATATAACCATCTATGCATCTGGCACATCCATACCAGATCTGTCAATTCCTTCAGTCTGCAATAACATCAGTAACTTCTTGGGCCACCAACCATGGCTTTCGCTTCTCTACCTCTAAATCTTTCCCCATCCTTTTCTCTCGCTCACGTACGGTCCCTAAACCCCCACTCTTCTTATATAATGCTCCACTCCAATACCGGTCTTCTGGCAAATTCCTAGGCGTTATATTTGATTCCAAATTGTCCTGGCGAGATCATATCTTGTATATCAAAGAAAAAGCTCAACGTCGCCTCCGAATCTTACAAACTCTTTCACATATCTCCTGGGGCTCAGATCGCAAAACTCTCCTCCATCTTCATGTTACTTTGATTCTCTCCACTCTAGATTATGGATGCCATATCTACTCCTCTGCCTCAACCTCTCTTCTTGCTCACCTTGATACAATCCACCACAGCGGTCTCCGCTTAGCCCTAGGCGCCTTCCGCTCCTCTCCAGTTGAGAGCCTATATACTGAATCAGGCATGCCGTCCCTCTCTCGACGTCGAGCCCTTCTCTCTCTCCGATGCTATGCTCGATTTCACCAATTTTCCCTCACCAAACTAACTATTCCACAATCCTTACTTCATACCTTTACCTCTTCTCCACGTTTACCAACTCCTCTCCCCGTACGCATGGATACCCTCCTCTCCCATTCCCCCTTCCCTCATCTCCGACCTCTCCCACAGTCTGTCCATTCCATTCCTCCATGGCTTATACCTAACCCCTGTATTTGCTCCTCAGTTTTCCCTGACCCACCAAAATCAGATATTCCCCCCTCTATCCTTCTCACTCATTTCCTTGACCATGTCTCCATTCATTCCTCCAGCATTCATGTTTACACTGACGGTTCCAAATCCATCCAGGAGCTGGATTCGCAGTAACATTCCCAAATTGCACTTTCAAATACACCCTCCCTCCTGAATCTAGTGTCCTTACTACAGAACTATATGCATAAGACGCACTACTATTTTTACTGACTCCCGTAATTTAACCCTCATAAAGTCAATGCACTCGACCAATCCCCTTGTCTGTAAGATCCAGAACTGGTTGTTCTATCTATCCACACGTCACAAATCTGTCAGATTTTGCTGGGTACCCAGCCATGTTGGAATCCCTGGCAATGAACAGGCAGATACTCTTGCACGATATGCCGCAATGTCCACATCACCTCAACAACGCTTCTCACATATTCCAGCTACAGATTACTACCCCACTTTAAGACCTTGTATACCCGATGGCAATCCTTTTGGTCAAGACTCCACAACAATAAATTACATACCGTAAAACCATCAATCTCCTCTTGGTCAGCTCCATTTCACAAAAACACGTTGGGAGACTGCCCTCGCACGATTACGTATTGGCCACACTCGCCTAACACATGCCTATCTGATGTCACGCTCAGACCCGCCCCTATGTCCTCTATGTAACATCCCTCTTTCAGTCCCACACATTCTCTTGTCCTGTCCACGCTTTAATACAGCACGTACCTCTGCTTTTCCACACCTATCCTCCCTTCACCGACCTCCCAACATATCAGACATCCTTACAGAATCTCACAGCTTCTGCCTCGACAACCTGTTCTCCTTCCTCAGACACATAAATATCCTTCACTTGATCTAACTCCCTTACCTAAACCACCATAATCTTTTCCCTCATCTTCAACCTTTCAACACTATTCTAGATAGTTGACACATAACAACTATCACCTGACATCCCCCTTTACTATACTTTCCTATAGTGCTATATGACCTTAGATGTCTAGCACATTTATCTTAACCATTAACCATTACATAGACACGTATCAAATGAAATGCAGATAAAATATAAACGTAATAAAAACGTGGCATTTCAAACTCGTTAAGTGTTCACATGAAACCGAAATGGATGGGTTCGAAATGTCACGTTTGTTAAAGCAGTTTCATTTTGCGTGTGTTCGTTAGTGTTTGTATTTAGATTAAATGCATATACACGCACATGTATTCATATATACTTCTACACACACATGGTTCTTTTCTCTTTCTCTTTTCAGTACAAGTTCCCGCCTTCTTATAGAGCGGAAGAAATATAATAGAACATGTTTAAGCTGCAGCAGCCTCATAGTCACCGTTAAATGACGAAAATATACCTAGCTATCACTGCTCAGAATCAGTCCCGCTGCTTGTTTACCTTGTTAAGAATAACAGAACACTAACCGCTTAACTCATTATTGCGCTATCGGATGTAGTTCGTGTGTTGCTACGCGCTTGTTGAAATGATATTTGGCTAATTATCAGTGTTTTTAGTATTTATTAATGTAGTTATACTTCATTTACGTGTTTTAAGATTTATCTATACACTTATTAAGAATTAACTGTGCATTATCTGTGCGTTTCATACTTTAACGCTTTCATTCGTCAGCCGGAAGGGTTGACAGCTCACAGGCCATTCAGCGACAGAACGCCGGTGAAAAATGATGCGTTTCCAACGTTGTTAATTCTTGGTTATTCTTAAGAATATATACAGTGGCAACGAAGAAGAAATAGGTATCAGTAACTATTCCAGTTTAATATTTGGGTTTTGCCGTAAGGAGGATTGGGTTCCCTTCGTTTAATATTTGGGTTCCTTTCGTTTTTTTATTTTTAGAATGTGTGTAGAATTTCAAATTGTTGCATTTGAAATCCATTGGCCGATTTTAAGCATTTTTTTTTTTTACATTTTTCTTCGCTGCTTTTCCTAAATTAAGCCTGTTTTACCACATAATATATTGACACTGTATAGGTGCTAATTACCCTCTTCTTTTATCTTTTCTTTCCTCTCTCATGAATACAGAATTATTAGATGATGGTTACTCATCTATATAAACATACGTATTCATAATCATGTCTAGAATTTCTTGTTTGTCATGTAGGTTTACATTTACAACGGGAAATACTACAAATCAGTTTTATGTTTGTTGATTTTTTTTTCAATCATTTGTCATGATGAAATGCCGAATAATCTGTATTCTTCATATATCTTGATGCCATTATCATGTTGCCACTATTAAAACTTCCAGATTTACTAAACACTCTCGTAAACGCTCTCTCGTAACAGTTACGAGAACTATCGATTTCTCAACTAGCGACTTTACGACCTATTTTCAAACGCCAAACAACGAGAGCGCAGGGGTCTCGTAACCTTAACGACCGAATTTTCTATCGCTAGGTGTCGTAGGGCTTTATTTCCTAAAAGAACGGTTGGATCGACCAATCAGCGTTAGCTCGGAAAAAATCGACCAATCATAGAGCGTTATCCGCTGAACTGAGGCAACACTAATGAGTTTTACTTGAAACAATTTCTATATCACCACCTGGTGAATCACCACCACCTTTTATTGATCATTACCACCTTTATAAATAGTCTTATAAATTCCGATACCTGTATAGATCTATAGCTATGGCTATATCCATCTCTCTCTCTCTCTCTCTCTCTCTCTCTCTCTCTCTCTCTCTCTCTCTCTCTCTCTCTCTCTCTCCTCTCTCTCTCTCTCTCTCTCTCTCTCTCTCTCTCTATAATATATATATATATATATATATATATATATATATATATATATATATATATATATATATATATATATATATAATGTAAAGGGAAAGAGATCACACACATATATATTCATATGTCTCTCTCTCTCAAAAAAAAAAAATAATAATAAATAAATAAAAAATAAAATCAAGCATTTCGTTATATTTTCATAAGATATTATGATAGGAATTTTTTACAATCCAGTAAAACATTCATCTTAATCATTATTCATAAATAATTGGATCCAATGCTAAATGTAATTTTACATTAGGCTATTAAGAGGTGTGTTTGTATATTGGTAACATTTGTTATTAAATATTGTTTTGTTGCTATAGAGGAAAATAGTCATAATGATGGAATTGTGCATTTTCATTCATATTTCGTACTTGAAGATGTGTTAAGAGATCCTTTAATTCATGATAAATCAAACTTGCTGAGTGATTTACATCAAGTGTTTCCGCACCTATATGCATTGACAAAGGCCAATTCTTATTTACATTAGTCATATTGTTTTTTTTTTTCTGTTACTATGCATCCTCAGTAGGTTGCTCTTGCACATTAATTGATTTCGACATGGCAAAGTGACCTTTACACACTCCTGAAGGTATTTATGAAGCTGATATGAGCTGAGGAGGGTCGCTACGATAAGCGTCACGAGTGGTTTCGGGCTCCCGTAGATGTCTCTCGTACGGAGATGTGTTTACGACCTCGGGAGTGCTTTGAAAATACGCTCGTTGCGAGAAACGAGAGAGTATTTTGTTTTACGATATAAACAAACCATTTACGATATCGTAAGACATTAGTAAATCCGGCCCCTGAGACTAATTCCTTTTTTAACTTCCAGGAATCAGCCTCGACGCAGCCAAATACCTGACTGCGCTCAAGGGCGACTCAGGGCTGGGGGTCGTGGGGGTCGGCCTCGACACCTCGACGGCCAATCCGACGCATGTGGAATTATTCGAAGCCAATATCTATGTCTTGGAGAACGTGGCTAAACTGGAGGTTCGTTTCCAGTTTAGAGAAATACGGTGGCAGAAAAAAATCTTTTAATGAAATTAAGCTTCGAATCCGTCTTGCCCTTTACGAAAAGAACTGTATTAAACGGATCTTCGAGGCGGGATTCGAAACATGTTTGAGAAGAGTTTTGACTGTGGCTGTACCTGTTTCATTATCATTGCTGTGCGTCTATAAGAGAGATTTATCTTTTTATCACCGATACAGTTGTATCAGAAATCTGATCGTCATCCTAACTATATATTACTAAAGCATATTATGCCTTTGGTTCTTTCAGATGCTTCCAGCCAAGGGATTCCGCGTAATAGTGAAGCCCATGAGCACCAAAAGAGTCGCTGACTCGGTTAGGATCTTCGCGAGCTTCCCAGACGCTGACGACGACGACGACGCCTCCTCCACGAACATCCCAGACGCTGACGACGACGACGACGCCTCCTCCACGCCAGACGCTGACGACGACGACGCCTCCTCCACGAACATCCCAGACGCTGACGACGACGACGACGCCTCCTACATCCCAGACGCTGACGACGACGACGACGCCTCCTCACGAACATCCCGACGCTGACGACGACGACGACGACGCCTCCTCCACGAACATCCCAGACGCTGACGACGACGACGACGCCTCCTCCACGAACATCCCAGACGCTGACGACGACGACGACGACGCCTCCTCCACGAACATCCCAGACGCTGACGACGACGACGACGCTCCTCACGAACTCCCAGACGCTGACGACGACGACGACGACGCCTCCTCCACGAACATCCCAGACGCTGACGACGACGACGACGCCTCCTCCACGAACATCCCAGACGCTGACGACGACGACGACGCCTCCTCCACGAACATCCCAGACGCTGACGAACGACGACGCTCACGAACATCCAGACGCGACGACGACGACGACGCCTCCTCCACGAACATCCCAGACGCTGACGACGACGACGACGCCTCCTCCACGAACATCCCAGACCGACGACGACGCGAACATTCCTCCTCCACGAACATCCCAGACGCTGACGACGACGACGACGCCTCCTCCACGAACATCCCAGACGCTGACGACGACGACGACCTCCTCCACGAACATTGACGACGACGACGACGCCTCCTCCACGAACATCCCAGACGCTGACGACGACGACGACGCTCCTCCACGAACACAGACGCTGACGACGACGCCTCCTCCACGAACATCCAGACGCTGACGACGACGACGACTCCACGAACATCCCAGACGCTGACGACGACGACGCCTCCTCCACGAACATCCCAGACGCTGACGACGACGACGACGCCTCCTCACGAACATCCCAGACGCTGACGACGACGACGACGACGCCTCCTCCACGAACATCCCAGACGCTGACGACGACGACGACGACGAACATCCCAGACGCGACGACGACGACGACGCCTCCTCCACGAACATCCCAGACGCTGACGACGACGACGACGCCTCCTCCACGAACATCCCAGACGCTGACGACGACGACGACGCCTCCTCCACGAACATCCAGACGCTGACGACGACGACGACGCCTCCTCCACGAACATCCCAGACGCTGACGACGACGACGACGCCTCTCCACGAACATCCCAGACGCTGACGACGACGACGACGCTCCTCCACGAACATCCCAGACGCTGACGACGACGACGACGCCTCCTCCACGAACATCCAGACGCTGACGACGACGACTCCTCCACGAACATCTGACGACGACGACGAACGAACATCCAGACGCTGACGACGACGACGACGCCTCCTCCACGAACATCCAGACGCTGACGACGACGACGCCTCCTCCACGAACATCCCAGACGCTGACGACGACGACGACGCTCCTCCACGAACATCCAGACGCTGACGACGACGACGCCTCCTCCACGAACATCCCAGACGCTGACGACGACGACACGCCTCCACGAGACGCTGACGACGACGACGACGCCTCCTCCACGAACATCCCAGACGCTGACGACGACGACGACGCCTCCTCCACGAACATCCCAGAGACGACGACGACGCCTCCTCCACGAACATCCAGACGCTGACGACGACGACGACGCCTCCTCCACGGACGCTTCTCCACGGACGCTGACGACGACGACGACGACGCGACGACAGACGCTGACGACGACGACGAACGCAGACGCTTCCTCCACGAGACGCTGACGACGACGACGACGCCTCCTCCACGAACATTGACGACGACGACGATTCGACGGATGACGAACATCCCCCTCCTCCTCCACGAACATCCCAGACGCTGACGACGACGACGCTTGTGTCTATAAGAGAACTTTATCTTTTTATCATCACCGATAGAGTTGTATCAGAAATCTGATCTTGTCATCCTAACTATATATTACTAAAGCATATTATGCCTTTGGTTCTTTCAGACGATTCCGGACAATGGATTCCAAGTAATGATGAATCCCACGAACACCACCAAAGAAGACATTGTCCCGGTTAGGATCTTCGCGAGCATCCAAGTCGCTGACGACGACGCCTCCACGAGCATCCTAGACGCTGACGACGACGACGAGCATACGCTGACGACGACGACGCCTCCACGAGCATCCCAGACGCTGACGACGACGACGAGCAGACGCTCGACCACGAGCAGACGCTGACGACGACGACGACGCCTCCACGAGCATCCCAGACGCTGACGACGCCTCCGCTCACGGCGCAGTTACGTACCTGGCGCCCGTACTGCTCGTCCTCATCGCCGTGGTACATATTATAACCGTGTGACTTTTATCTACTCGAGTGAATGAAATGATGCGCTTCTGTTACAAATTAGAATAAAATTGGGTATTTTTCCAGCTTCTACCTTTGCATTTACCCCTATTGAAATACTCATTATAATCACAGGTGTGTATTCAGAATACAAAACATATATGTAAGCCCCCTACCGGATCCCCTGCCCGTTGTCGTCCAGGGGAGGGGGGGGGGGGGGCTAGGAGACGGAGACAGGCACAAGGCCAGGGATCACCCCTATCTTGGGCGTCAGCCCTCAACCGATTTTGAACGGTCTTCCCTTCTTTCCCCTTCCTTATCATTCTCTTCTCCAACCTTTTCTACCATCCACTCACTAATGTGTTACAGCCGTGTAAAAGTCTGACCTTGTGCCAGTTATGAAATTTTATGGATGCAGCACTCAACTTTTGAGTACATTACAAAAGTGGATCGTCTCCTTATGAACGGTCTAGGGGCATCCTTAAGTGCAATTAGCAGACGAAATTTTATGGATGCAGCACTCAACTTTTGAGTACATTACAAAAGTGGATCGTCTCCTTTTTTGAGGGACCATTTTCGCCCTTGCCGAAATCGTGTTTTATGCATTTTCAAGGAGTTCCAGGGCCTCCAATTCTCCCCTGAAAATTTAAAAGCCTGACAGCTGTTTTTTAGGTGGCGGCAGCCCTTTTCGATGTCGACCGAAATATTTATTTCTTCACCTTATCTTAGAAAATCGGCAATTGTGACGTAATGATTTGAGATAATAAAATAATATTTTTGAAACCTTATTAAATTTCACGTAAGATGAGACCAACCTTTTCATTTTTTCGAAATTTTTAGTATCTGGTTAGCATTGAAAAAAAAAATGCAAATATATAAACAATGATCTGCCGCTCATATGGAATATTTCTTATCTTTTTCATCATAAATAGTTATTTGCTCTATGAGCAAAAGATTTCGAAAATGCAAACATCTCCCTCCCCAAATAGTGGGAGGAGGCCCCAGATCACCACCAAAATTTTATGGAATATTAGGCTAAGACATATGTGTGTGTGTGTGATTATATATATATATATATATATATATATATAATATATATATATATATATATATATATATAATATATATATATATATTATATATATATTTTTTTATATATAAATTCTTGAGTTTAAAATTAATCCTGGATCCGAACCATGGTCCACATCACCAACCTAAGTACAATTGGCATCTAACTTTGGTAAAAATCTCATTAAAATATGTTCATAACTTTTAGAAATATCGGAAAACACAATCAACAAACCAGCAAACACACAAACGGAAGTAACAAAATAAATAAACAGTGTCATGGGATACACAAAAATGATCTATATATATCCTTACATACCTTGTATACATCTTTTTTACACCGCCCTATATTTGGATTTTTTGTTTTTTTTCACGGGAGTCTGAGTGTGAAAATTGGCTATGTGGCCCCGTAGAGTTAAACGCCAGTGATCCGCAGGTGCAAGGACACGCGAGTCATGGTCTGGCGACGCTGGGAACGGGACACTTAAGGTACCCATTCGACTGGAGAACGATTATTTTTTCGACCAGTTTTATGCATTGTAAAACACCATAGGTAGGTAAATTATAGATTATTATATCATATACAATTATTTCGTACATGATTTCAAAGTTAGATGTAAACAAAATGAAAAGGAAAAAGATTCTGATGTTTGGGTCCCTTACATTTTTACGCATAGCGCACTCGTGTCCGAAAGGCTTCGGGATGTAGGTACATGATAGACAAAAATGATGAAAAGAGAAAAAAAAACTTCGACCGTTAATTTGGAAATATACTTATCTACGCAGAAATGCCGTTCCAGACGGAAATTTAGTAAAAAAAATAAACGTATTATGGCTAATTCTGTAGATTAATAAAATATCAAGGGAGTGTAGAAAGCTGATTTATCGAAATTTTCCTGTGTTGCTTGTAAAAGTGATATAAATATAAATATATATATATATTTTATATTCTATATATTTATATATATATTTTATATATTATATACATATTTATATTTTATATTTTATTTTATTTATATTTTATATTTCATATTATTTTATATTCATATTTATATATTTTTTATATTATTTTATATTTTATATTATTTTAATATTTATATTATTTTATTTTTTATTATTTTTATATTTTATATTTATATTTATATTTATATTTTATATTTTTTTATATTTTTTTATATTTTATATTATTTTTATATTTATATTTATACTTATATTTATATTTATTTTTATATTTTACATTTTTACATTTTTACATTTTTACATTTTTACATTTTTACATTTTTACATTTTATTTTATTTTACATTTTACCATTTTACATTTTACCATTTTACCATTTTACCATTTTACCATTTTACCATTTTACCATTTTACCATTTTTACCATTTTACCATTTTACCATTTACCATTTACCATTTTACCATTTTACCATTTACATTTTACCATTTTACCATTTTTTTACATTTTTACCATTTACATTTACCATTTACATTTTACCATTTACATTTTTACCATTTACATTTTACCATTTACATTTTACATTTACATTTTACCATTTTACATTTTTTACATTTTACATTTACATTTACCATTTACATTTTACCATTTACATTTTACCATTTACATTTTACATTTACATTTTACCATTTACATTTACATTTACATTTTTTTACATTTTACATTTTTGCATTGTTGTGTGTGTTTGTATTTATTTATATTATATCTATCTATACGTTATATCTATCTATACTATCTATACGTATCTATACTATATCTATACGTATATATCTATCTATACGTTATATCTATCTATACTATCTATCTATACGTTATATCTATCTATACGTTATATCTATCTATACGTTATATCTATCTATACGTTATATCTATCTATACGTTACTTTATATTTATTTATACTTTATACTTTATATTTATTTATACTTTATACTTTATATTTATTTATACTTTATACTTTATATTTATTTATACTTTATACTATATTTTATACTTTATACTTTATATTCATTTATACTTTATACTTTATATTCTTTATACTTTATACTTTATATTTTATTATTATACTATACTTTTACTTTATATTTATTTATACTTTATACTTTATATTTATTTATACTTTATATATATTTAATTTATACTTTATACTTTATATTTATTATACTTTATACTTTATATTCTTTATATATTATTTATATTTATACTTATATTTATTTATACTTTATACTTTATATTTATTTATACTTTGTACTTTATATTTTATACTTTATCTTTATATTTATTTATACTTTACTTATACTTATTTATATTATTTATACTTATACTTTATATTTATTTATACTTTATACTTTTATATTTTTTTATATTTATATTATATTATACTTTATATTTTATACTTTATATTATTTATACTTTATCTTTATATTATTTATACTTTATATTATCATTTATACTTTATATTTATATACTTTATACTTTATACTTTATATTTATTTATACTTATACTTTATGTATACTTTATACATCTTTATACTTTATATTTATTATACTTTATACTTTATACTTTATATTTATTTATACTTTATACTTTATACTTTATACTTTATATTTATATTTATTTTATACTTTATACTTTATATTTATTTATACTTTTTATACTTTATATTTTATTTATATTTATACTTTATACTTATACTTTATATTTATATTATACTTTATACTTTATACTTTATACTTTATATTCATTTATACTTTATACTTTATATTTATTTATACTTTACTTTATATTTATTTATACTTTATACTTTATTTATATTTATACTTCATTTATACTTTATACTTTATATTTATTTATACTTTACTTTATTTATTTATACTTTATACTTTATGTTTATTTATGCTTTATACTTTATACTTTTATTTATTTTTATACTTTATACTTTATATTTATTTATACTTTTATACTTTATATTCATTTATACTTTATACTTTATATTTATTTATATACTTTATATTTATTTTACTTTATACTTATATTTATTATACTTTATACTTTATATTCATTTTTATACTTTATACTATACTTTATACTTTATATTATTTATACTTTATACTTTATACTTTATACTTTATATTTATTTATACTTTATATTATACTTTATACTTTATATTTATACTTTATTTTATTTATACTTTATACTTTATATTTATTTATACTTTATACTTTATATTTATTTATACTTTATACTTTGTATTTATTTATACTTTATACTTTATATTTATTTATACTTTATATATTTATTTATACTTTATACTTTATACTTTATACTTTATATTTATTTATACTTTATACTTTATATTTATTTATACTTTATACTTTATATTTATTTATACTTTATACTTTATACTTTATACTTTATATTTATTTATACTTTATACTTTATATTTATATTTATTTATACTTTATATTTATTTATTATATTTATTTCATGTTCCATGTTCCTTTATATTTCATTTCATGTTCCATGTTCCTTTATATTTCATTCATGTTCCATGTTCATTTATATTTTATATTTATATTTATTTATATTTTATATTTTATGTTTTTATATCTTTATATTTTTTTATATTTTTATATTTTTTGTATTTTTTTATATTTTTTTTATTTTTTATATTTTTATATTTATGAAAAAAAATCTTTTTTGGACACCTGCTGGACGACTCGGTAAAATATTTCTAAAAAAAGAAAAATGTAGGAATCGAAAAAAGTGCTTTCTACATTCCTTAGATGAAGGATGATTCTGTAAAATATAACGATCAGAATGACGATATAATTATATATATATATATATATATATATATATATATAATATATATAATATATATATATATATATATATATATATATATATATATATATATATATATATATATATATATATATATATATATATATATATATATTTTTTTAACAAATATTCTGCTTTGGTCAAATTTCCAAATTCTTCAGATTTTTTTTTATTTTTTTACTATACTCAAAAACTGTTAGGCCGATTTCGAAAAAAAAAAAATCAATCTACCACAGAGATCAGGCTAGGGTCTAAATAAAAGGGTGAGAGTCATGAAAATCGGCAAGAAAAATCGAAAAAAAAATGAGGTGATACCCTTAAGTCTTATTTATCAAATTACTCAGTCTACCCAAGTGCACTCAACTGGATGATGAGGCAGAGTACGGCGTGAGGACACTCAGGACGTTGTGCCGCACTTAAAACCACGCAACAGCAATGGGAACAGCGAGTGAGGATATGAAGTGTGAGGCAATTCTGGACAAGAAAAGATAATGTTGAACGGTTATAGTGATCACGAGTTGAACGAATGGTTCAGATTAGATCGAGAAGGATTAATGCGTGCGACCGGCATGATCAGAGGGTCAAGTAAGCCCTCGTACAAATCGAACATGTGCCATCTCTGCAGAAATGAAAGTTTTAGTGCTAGGTTTCTCTTATACTCCCTACTCTAGTTCGCTCTGCCCTTCCCCACCTCCTCAGGATGTTCCTACTACGGATATCAATCCTCCTCCTCCTCATATTCCCCTACACCTTCCTCATACTCCTCCCAACATAACCCATCCACCTCAACACCAACTACTGCCGCCATCCTCCGACACCCATCCTCCTCCTACTCATATTCCCCCTACACTACTTCATCCTACTCATATTCCCCCTACACCACTTCATCCTACTCCCTCCCGACAGAACCCCCCCCCCCCTCAACTCCAGCTATACATACATTCTCCCTCCATCCATCCACTCTATCATTTCCACTCCCTCCTGGATACACACGTGAATCACTTATGTCAATGTCTTACCTAGACCCACATAGCCCATTCACACAGCAACTTCTTTACCCATCTTTTAACCTTTCAAGATCACTCTAAATAGATGAATAGCAACTATCACCCTTTATCCCTCCTTTAATATACTTTCCTATAGTGCCATATGACCTTAGGTGTCTAGCAAATTTATTTTTGCTTTTAACCATTAACCATTATCAATCAATATCCTATTTTATAATCAGCAAATTATTATAATCCAGTTCTTAATTGCAGTACTTACACACGATTTTGTACATGGAAGACTCAAATCTTTTATTGTTCTTAGTGTTTTAGAAGCAAACCACTGGCACTTTCTTCTAAATTGCTGGTCTTACACTGATAACAAGCTATTATAGAGAATTATTGCAACTCTCATACACTACAAAAACTGACCTTAAAATTTCCCCAGTCATACACTTCCATATTTCGAAGCGTTATGCATTAGAATAAAATCTCTTTGCTCTGTCAGCATCGCTAATATTGCAAGTGAGTGGTCCTTTGTTGCTTTTATAGCCATGTCCCTGAATACAAATAATTAAGAGACGCCCCCCAATGAAATGATTGGTGACTGAAATTTCAAGATTCTACCACAATAGCCTAATACATAGGACTCGCTCTCGACATTTACATCACTTAAGTCCCGAAATATATACAGCTTTATTAACACAGCACAAATTATATGATTTTTGTCTACCATCCCTTATAGTATGCCAAAAGTGAAAAGGACAAGAAAACTTAACCTCGGGTAAACCTTTTTAGGCGATAAGCAACAACTTAATATGATAAACTTGAACTCTGTCTTGTCACGGAATCTTTAAATTCATAATAAATTTGCAGTATGTTTGTTCCTTTACTATCGCTTTGTTTAATAATTGGTTTATGCCATTGATACCTGTAAATTTACATTCAGATTTTTAATGAAATATAAATTGGTTCCTTACAAAGTACATGTAAGAGGTAGCTTTTTGTAGTCCTCATATATAGATATATATGTGTGTGTGTGTGTGTGTCCAAGACAAGTTAAAAAGTACACCTTATCATCACAGGTAATAAATGAAATCAATATAAACCTTATCAAAACCAGTAACTAATCGAACTCAATGCGGCATATAATAAAAAAGCATATGTGATAACAGAGCGGGTTAACCATATACTCTATACATATTATCAGCTACAAAGTGTTATTTCTTTAATGGATTTCCTCATATATTCCGATGACGGAAGAAGACAACTAAGCTAGAGATGATACATTCATACAAAAAATACATATATAACACACTACTAGTTGATCTTTTTTTTCAATAGTGAGGGCCATGCTAATTGTTGTACTTATCTTGTACTTAGGCAACTGCTCGCGTCACTTTAGCAAAGGGTAACACCAGTTACACTGCCGCTGAAACGGTGAATACTTCCACGCCTATAAAAATAAAGTATCGATGAATATAAACAAACTCCCGATACTCAATGGTAAAGGTCTCTTTAAAAGTAGCCATGAAGCACTGAAGGCTTCTTTTAAACTAGTAATTGGACAATAGATGTTTCTTAAAATAGCAATTAACAATATTTGACGTTAGGAGGGTGCGAACTCACAAGATTTACGTTATCAGGTGTAGCTACGGGGATAAGCGGGGACCTAATCTTCGACTAATTCTGGGTTCAGTATCAATCACGGTGAGCGCGCAGGAGGTTGTGGCGCTCTGCTCAAGTTCTGATGAAGTTGGTATTATATTTGCTTGTGGTCGCTACCTCCATCCGTCTGGGTATGTGTGTGGTAATTTGCGGAAAAGGCTTTATCTGTACAATGTTTTGTATATATATATATATATATATATATATATATATATATATATATATATATATATAGAGAGAGAGAGAGAGAGAGAGAGAGAGAGAGAGAGAGAGAGATAAATAAATATATATATACAGTTTGTAAAATGTTTGTGTATATATATATCGGTAGATAAACAGATAAGTAGATAGATATATGCATATAGTCTGTAAAATGTTTGCATATATATAGAGAGAGATGGACAGATAACTAGATAGATAGATAGATAACTAGATAGACATACATATAATTTGAGATAAAGAGATAGAGAGGACTTATCCATATTGATAGATTAAGTGATATTAGATCATGATAACTCTTTGACGTGCCACAGACCCTTAATGATGTGCCTCCAACGTCTTAAAAACACCATGGACCGCTTTTAAAATTTACTTTACTTGGAGACCATAACAAGGAATAAATAAGCAGATACGTAAAGAATTGCACAAGAATGGTGGAGCTTCACTTGCCACTTTAATGACCCTTGTTATTCTAGCATATAATAATTGTAATTATTTGTGCATGGGGCTTTGGTTGTATCATGGTAGTTTACAGGAGTTTAAAAGCTACTCTATCGTTATTTCTCGATTCCCATGCGTGTTTTGGGCGAATATCTTTAATGTCTTATTATCTAGAATCAATTGAAAATGAATGGGAGATTTTGGGCTACGAAGACATGGTAAAAATCGGCACCTCTCGTCCTTAAAGCAAAGGAGGGAACAACACTGACTTTTGTCCAAAAATAATAAAACTATTCTATTTTTAGGACATGCTATGCGTAAGGAAATTACAACCTACTGCGCGCTATTCTGCACTAAAGATACAAAATACCGTTGTCGCTGTTGTAATTATATCGATATATAGTGTGG